GATGAAACGTGGACGTGGGTTTGAAACTCTGCTAAAATCAATGTCACTGAAGGTGAAACGTGGACGTGGGTTTGAAACTGCTAAAATCAATGTCACTGAAAGGTCAAACGTAGACGGCGGTTCTTGCCTGAACTAAAGTGGTTATGAGCTAACGTCAAGGTCAAATGGTTCTGAACTTGGGTCAAGCAGGACCTTGAGTCGTTGCCTCGTAGGTAACAGGTCGATTGTGAAAACTAAAGTGGTTCTGAACTATGCTCATTGAAGGTTGTAACTCGATCGTGGTTTATTTCTTGGGTAATGGTGCGTATAAAGGGTTTAGCAGAGCACCGTAGAAGTCATATTCATAAAGAATAGGTACCAGTAAGGATGTCAAAAGTAAATAGGATAACTGCGAAAGTGAGCAGACAGAGACAAGGAATAGACGATTTACTAAGAAAAATTAAAAAGTTGAAGTGGGATTTAGAAGTGCTAGATGTACAGCGAAAATTGAATAAAATACAACTAAAGCCAAGAAGTCCAACGCGCAATACAGGAGAATGCCGAAAAAATTAAGTGTGTTCAAGCTAATAAGCAAGAATTATGAATTACGACGCGTCGCTTAAATGAACCTAAATGTACCTACTTGACGTACTTATTGATAGAGGAAAATAAAGATTTGTATACATTGTATTTCTTATTTTACTTGACAAGTGAACTGGTCCATTTACCCTAGCAAATAATAAAAATATTAAATACAAAGGCCAGTTTCTTATGCATTCGAATGCAAATCATAATTTCTAATTGATTATGTGTTCGATTGATCGATTATAAAATTTTATACCAAAAACCTTTATAATATAAATGACATCCTAATTAATCATGTAGGTGAGGCGTACATTTAAATAGACATAAAGCGCAAATAATAATTATTAATTTTAGCTCTAGGAACTTCTCGTAAAGCAAAATGAATAAAACGCGCGCATCTACTGCACTTCCAATGGTGCGCATTAATTTGCATCTACAACTAATTAGCTATTCTTAAAACGTCGAATTACCTACGAATGCAATGTTTTTGGCATTAACACATCTATGATAATCGTTATTATTAAATACATAACGAAAAAATGCGGCGACGTTATTGTAAATGAACCCGAATCAAATATGTGCAATTTTTCATGTTGAGTTTTCTCTAAAAAAATATTAAGCGTGAAATTGTCTCATGCACACGTATTTGTTTGACCTAATTTCTATAACATCGTACCTAGAAAAGATTATGCATAGAAAAAGTGCATCGCACAGAATTTAAACGCGCGATAAAAAGATATTCAACCCGCAACTGCATATCCGGCGCGCGGGAACGAAGTTCATTCTTTGGTCAGCTGCGGAAACGCGCTTTGAATTTTACTACCGTTATTCGTGAAAAAATTGTTTTGGGTGTATTTATCAGTTTAAAAATTCCAAAATACGTAAATGTAGCTTTTCTTAAGTGCAAATGTGTAAGTACAAATTAAATTTTCACGGCACTTTTCGGTAATATGTAGAGGACCTCATTTTGCGGTTAATGCATTGAAATTTTTGGAAAATTATACTTCCAATAGATAAAACACTTCTTATAAAATGCATTTGCCTTTGAGAAAAATTTTTAAACTGCATAGAACCCACGACAAATTTAAAAATTCCAGGAGCGCAAAATTTTTGAACTTATTGTTAACCCTTCCCCTCTACCCCCACCACCCCTGGGTAACGTACCATACCATATCAACTCGTTTTGCATCTCTTTCGCTACTTACGGACGTACATCTTATTCTCTATCGACGTCCACCTTTACTTACTACACACGCTTTTCCATTATAATGCAACTCACTTTACATATCTACTTAACCCATTGCATTGTGCAAAGTTACACTTATGCAACTAATCACACTACGTTATGCACTTTTGGTTGCATACTTTTTCCAATGTCACATTTCTTTATTAGCAGGTGATGTGAACAATTTTTTTTTGTTCAATGTAAACGACAATTATCTTACAACCTTTTATTTATTAAAACTATCTTACAACAATTTAATTTATTACAACTATATATAGACTATTTCCTACCACAAAAATTAACAAAGCTTAAAATGTACCGCATGTCCCCTTCAATTTTTCTTTCCTCCATCCGGGACGCCTCCACTTGACGTTCCAATTGAGAGGTTTTGTCCTGCGTTTCTTGCAGTTGGATGGCATACTTCTGCAGCATTTTCTGCAGAAGTTGGTGCGCCTGGGAAGCAATCTCCCGCGCTGCAGGAATTGGAACCGCCGAAGTGGACGGCATCTCAGGTGTGTACCCCGCCTCCTGCCCTTGAATTTTCAACAGGGCTTCTAAATTTTTCTCGCCACATTTGCGCCTGTAACGATGAAACAAATTTTTAGTTATATTCGATTTCATTTTTTTTTAACAACTTACCGTCTCTTCGCACACACCCTGGGATCGACCGGTTCGTCTTCGGACTTTCCGGCCTGCTCTAGAGGTGGAAGAGGAGCTCGAAATTCTGGTGGTGGAGTGGGCGACTTCTGCTGCTCTGACAAATGTGGCGTTGGGACAACTCTACAAAGAAATAGGTGTGTTCTTGAAACATGTACTTTCCAACATTAATTATTATTATTATTATTAAACATAAACTTTTATACTAACCGTTCGCTGGAGTATAAATGGTCCGCAGCGTCACCTCCGTCTAATTGGGCCATCACTAATTCCACATCAAAATTCTCCCACAGGTTGGCAGGAGTTCTATAACAAATTATCATTGCTACATAAAATCAAGGGCACAATTAATGATACTTACTGGACTGTTGAATTATCCGAATGGATGGTGATGACACTACATTGGTCACCATCCATAAACGGCGCCGCCGGGAACGGTTTATTGTTACCGGGTACCACTTTTTTCGGCGAGTGGGGGAACAGATTATTATCGGTGCAAGTACTACTGTTCCCCACTTTGTTGCTTTCTAACATGTTCTGTAGAATGTTAGTTGGTGCCGGTTTTTTCAATGATAGTTTGGATTTACGTGACGACATTGTAATTGTGTTAATTCTGTTGCGCGACGACGATAGAACTGACAAACGGAAGGAAATTTCTACTATTACAAACTCTCTGTTATCGTTTGCAAAATACTAAAGAGGGATATATTTAATAAGTGAGAACAACACATCGTATGATTTCCGGAATCAAATAACTGCATTGTCAGCTTTTGAACACCTACTAGTTGCTTACAGTCTTGCGCAAAAGGTGACCTTGAACACTTTGTCTATATAAGGCGATAATTGCCCTTAATTTGGTTACTTACACCTTCACCTTTCCACTCGTGGAGATTTTCGAGAGTACGAGTTCAACACTATCAACACGCAAGGTGACTGTGGAGAGTTCAATCCGGCGTAAATTTTAACAGTCTTGAGTTAAAGTTACAGTAAGTACCTACTAATTACAATGGAGTCTACATCCCTGGCAAGACTTAGCAGTGATATAGTTAAGACAACCCGAAAAGCTGTTGCATTATTAAAACATAAGTCTGAATTTGTAAAGCACATTTCGATAATAAGGGAAAACATTTCTTTGCTACGAAATGCTATCGATAACAACATTCATTTAGATAGTCGTAGTGAAAATCCCATTACGCTAGAAAGTAATTTGGCTATATTGAGATACTATTTAGTTACATTACGCGAACAATTGAAAGATGTTTCGAGAAAAAGCGGTTGTGGAATAAGTCATACGCCTGCTCCTTCTACTAGTGATCGTAATTCGCCAGTCCTAATTTGGCAAACCTTAAATTCTTGCTTTCAAGGTAGATTACTTACTGGTATTATTGTAAATACCGGTTTCAAAGACCCTTTAATTTTCTTAGAGAAAGCATTCGGCAATGTTGTACGGAAAATTCGGCCCATGTTAAGGCAAAGTATGTTGAAAGTTAATGTGTCTCTTTCTTGTGACTTTGTAAACCCCAACAATCTTGACGTCAATATAAAAACTTTTGCCACAAAAAATTCGGTTCTTGACATTGGCACTAATCTCGGAGAGTGGTATCTAAGAGAGGTGTATCATCCATTGCAGACAAAGCTTGGGGGTTTCGAAGAATGTAATTCGGGGTGGGCGTTAAGGGAGGTTTTGTATTTAAAGGTAAACATAAATAAATATGTTCCCATTAGGGGGGGACGCTTTTCCACATATATTAATCTCCCTCGGTTTATAGCTTATAAGAGAGCCGTAGTGAATGTTAAAAATAACGATAAGTGTTGTTTCCTGTGGTCAATTGTCTCGGCTCTTTATCCGGCGCAATCGAATCCCAACCGAACTAGTAGCTATCCCCACTTCGATGCGGTTCTGAATCGTGGATCTATTCAATTCCCAATTAAAGTAACCGATATAAAGAAGTTTGAAAAGTTGAATAATCTCGCTATTAACTTATACTGCATAGAGAAGAGAAACGTACTGCCTTTCATGTTGAGTAGAAATCATGCAAATGGAGCCAACCCGATCAATTTGTTAGTCTTGTCATCCGAAAATGGCATTACTCGAACCGATAGTAATAGATCGTACCATTTTGCTTGGATAAAAAATCTCTCTCGCCTATTGTCGTCGCAACTATCAAATAGGGAGCATTCCAAATTTTTCTGTCACATATGCTTAAATCATTTCTCTTCGAAGCACATACTGGAAAAGCATACCGTCCGCTGCCATCAAATAAATAAATGTGCACTAAGATTGCCCGTTGAATCTGAAAAAATTGTGCAGTTTTCTCACTATTCGAATAAGGAAAAAGTACCGTTTGTGATTTATGCTGATATAGAAAGCATTTTGGTAAAGTGTGACAATTCTTGCGGTGTGGGGAAAAACACTAACCCATTTCAAAAGCATATACCTCATAGCATTGCGTTTTATTTCAAGTGTGCTTATGACGATTCACTCTCTAAGTTTTTTTTGTATCGGGGCCCGGATTGTGTAAAATGGTTTATTAGTCAGTTGCGTACCATTGCTATGTGGGCAAATACAAAGATTAACAACCCTTTGCCGATGGAAAAATTGAGTGCAGCTCAGCAGAATGATTTCGAGAACGCCACTCATTGCCACATATGTGAAAAGCCGTTTTTGGAAAATGAGATTCGTTGTCGCGATCACTGCCATCTCAGCTCAAAATATCGCGGCCCAGCGCACCAGCAATGCAATATAAACTACCAAGACAGTCACACAATCCCCGTGGTCTTTCATAATCTGAGTGGATACGATGCGCACTTCATTATCCGCGAACTTGCAACCGCTATACCTGGCCAAATAAAACTTTTACCTTTAAACAAAGAGAAGTATATTTCGTTTACGAAATATGTGGAAAATACCAGCATTAACTTTAGATTTATCGACTCCTTTAGGTTTATGAGCAGCAGTATAGAAAAACTCGCTTCGTACTTAGGAGACGACAAAAAAACTATAGCGAAATCGCAAAGTCGCAACGATGCCGAATTCAAATTGCTCATGCGAAAGGGTGTTTTTCCCTATGAGTATGTCGACTCGTGGGAAAAGTTAAATGAAACCCGATTACCGCCGAAAAATGAATTTTTCAGTTCGTTGCGTAACGACGGCGTGAATGACGAAGATTATGAGCATGCTTTAAATCTTTGGAACGTATTTTCTATTCAAACTCTCGGTCAATACTCGGATTTGTATTTGAAAACTGACGTGCTTCTTTTGGCAGACGTATTTGAAAATTTTCGCGCCACTTGTCTGAAAACCTACAAACTCGATCCTCTTCATTATTACACTGCGCCGGGCCTCGCTTTCGATGCCATGCTCAAAATTACAGAGATTAAATTGGAACTATTAACAGACATCGATCAAGTTATGTTCGTAGAGAAGGGTATTAGGGGTGGAATCACTCAATGTTCCACTAGATACGCGAAGGCGAACAACAAATACATGAATGACGACTATCGTCCTGACCTTGAATCGATTTATTTAATGTATTTTGATATTAACTCCCTTTACGGAGCTACAATGTGTGAAGCATTGCCTTATGGGGAGTTCTCTTTCGTAGACGATTTTGAATCGTTAGACATATTAAATCATCCCGATGATGCAGATATCGGTTACATTGTGGACTGTGATTTTGATTATCCGAAGGAATTACATGAGTCCCATAGCGACCTTCCTTTGGCCCCCGAACACATGTGTCCTCCCGGCTCTAGAATAAAGAAATTAATGCTTACTTTGTTCCCGAAACGCAACTACGTATTACACTACCGAAATTTAAAGCTTTACATTAAACATGGACTGAAACTTGTTAAAATTAACCGTGTGTTGCGTTTCAAACAATCGGCGTGGTTAAAAAAATATATCGAATTGAATACACGTATGAGAAAACAGTCTACAAACGATTTTGAAATAAATTTTTATAAGCTAATGGTAAATAGCGTTTTTGGAAAACTGATGGAAAATGTAAGAAAATATAAAGATGTTCGCTTGGTGACAAAGTGGGAAGGTCGCTATGGCGCTCGTGCGTATATTTCCAAGCCAAACTTCCATAGCTGCACTCTTTTCGATGATGACGATATCGCGATAATAGAAATGAATCGGTTGGAGGTATTTCTTAACAAACCAATTTATGCGGGGTTGACGGTTTTAGACGTATCGAAAACTTTCCTCTACGACTTTCACTACAATTATGTATTACGGGAATTCGGTGATCGCGCAAAACTCCTGTACACCGACACTGATAGTCTTGTATACTCTTTTGCAGTGCCGGACATATATCAATCAATCAAAGAGAACATTAATCGATTCGACACATCCAGTTATAACCCAAATAATCCCTTTGGTATACCTCCTGTCAATAAAAAAGTCCCCGGATTGATGAAAGACGAAAACAATGGAAAAATAATGTTAGAGTTCGTGGGTTTAAGGGCAAAAATGTACGCGTACCGAGTGGACGACAAGGTGTTAAAAAAATCAAAAGGTTCGACAGCCGCTAGTATTCGTGAAATAACTTTACAAGATTACAAACGTTGCTTGTTTAACGATGACATTGTAAAAAGGGATCAATATCTAATTAGGTCACAGAAGCATTCTGTGTTCACCATAAGGCAGAATAAGGTGGTTCTTAGTCCTCACGATGATAAACGTTCTATCAGTTTAAATTGTATCAATACGCGGCCTTGGGGCTATAATTTGGCCTAATCCGCATATTTCGCGACCTCGAAACATCTTTCAATTGAATGCCTATTTTTTCAGATTATGAGCAACAGTTGCGGAAATCGTTCGGATAAAAAAGTGCAATTGGAGCGAGAATTATTTCAATCGTCTCACATAATATATACAAAACATTTAAAGAGTGCTTTAATGGACATTTGGTCAATTGAAAATTATGTGATCATTAATCAAATATTGCAAAACATTGTAATACCCGACGAGTGCTTCAACTGGTGCATCAAATCGACAAACGTTTGTTGCAATAAACTAACATTTTTATTTGACAAGAAAGAAGAACTTGACTGTACAGTTAGGCACTTTGTAAACAGATTTAGCATTTTAAGTGAAATGTGTGTTAGTAATAATCTTGCATTGTTACCTGAAGTTCCTTTACACATCAGAATGTATATCCTGGATTTAGTTAAGGACGCTCAATTTAATGTAGATAGCATAGTGAAAAATTATAAGAATTTTTTGTGCATAATGGACGATGCCATGTGTACGGCCATAGAATATGCGAACGTCAAGGCTCTTGAAATGTTGTATGATATTTGTATAAAGCGAAATGTGCAGTACAGATTTAGGCCATACGAGGACGCTCGCCATAAAAAAGTCTATAACTGGATACTGGAGAACATTCGCAGAGGCAGCGAAGTTCCAAACGCATCGCTGGGATGGACATGCGGGCCAGATAGCGCATTTTGGCCCTCTACCCAATTAAGCGACTACAAAAGAACATTTACGCTCCTTAAAAAAATCATGAAAGATGAACCAAAGGGAAATGTGGTTGTTAAAAACTTTGTATGGTAAAAAATAAAACAGAATATAACAGTTTATTTTAGTTTTATTTGTAATAGTACATCATACATTAAATAAACTTATAAAACTACGTTATCTTTATCAATCCACGACCTCTCGTCTAATCCCCACCACTTTACGTACACCTTGTCTTTCTTACGTTTTAACACTTTTTCCACCAAATATACATCCGAATACTTGGCTTTTTGCAGTTCTTGTTCATAAAATCCTCCTAGTATCGATTTTCCTTTCATGTCTTCCAATAAATACGTCACCGGATTGGTTATTCGAACTTTTACAATTTTGAAGAGTTCACTGGACCAGTTTGGTGTGTATCCTTTCGCAAATATGGATTTAAATTTGCTAATTCGAACAACATCGCCAACATTAAAACGATATCTCTTGTTGAAGAGCTTGATGTGGTGGTAGGCGTACAGATGTGTGTCGCCCTTTACTTCGATCGGCTTCATCCCCGTTGTTCGATGTTTACGATTATTGTACTCGCTCGTGATTGATTCGATTGCATCAATCCATACATACTTTCCACGTAGACTAAACTGACGATACAAATAATTTTTGATCGTCCTAATTGTTCTTTCGGCTATGGCAGCTTTCTTTGTGCTGTACGTGGAATAGTGATTAATGCTTTTCTGCGCCATCAATTTGTTAAATGATTTGTTATAGAATTCCTTCCCGGCATCGGTTTGTAGATTTTTCGGTCTCCGTTTGGTAGTTTTGAAAATATCCTGTATGGCTTTTGTCACCTCCTCACCCGTTTTAGTCTTCAATCCTCTCGTCCACAGATATTTTGAAAAACAATCGATAACTACTAATATGTATTTGTAGCCTTTATTCTCTTTAGCGTAAGGTATAAATTCGGCTAAATCTGCTTGCCAAAGATCATCGAACCCTTTAATAACGGTGCGCCTACGTGGGAAGTTTTTGCGTGCCGCTTTATGTAGCTCGTTTACCACCTGCTGCATCCTCTATTACTTTATGCAAGGCTTCTTTGACCGCTTTCAACTCTTCCTTTAGTACTTCCACGTAATTGCGAAGACCATCTACAGGGGCTTTAGCGATCTGCATATAATATGTGAAGTATCCTTTATTTATGGCATCGCCGTCGTCTACTGGATCGGCCACATTCATCAACCGATTTCCGTTCAGATCCAGCCTTGTTGATAGGTAATGTTGTAAGGTTACAGCATCATGGCGCTCAATAGGATCCTCAACATTACTAATTAGTCTCTTACTTTTCACATTTATAGTATCGTCGGTAATGGAAAATTTTGTCTTGAGCAGTTTTCCAAATTGGGCATGGGTATGCGAACGTCCGAATTTATCCATGGCGAATGTAAGCAAAAAGACGGAATGGAGGTATTTATACTAGCTGACGTAAAAATCGTTGCGTGGGCTTTTGTATGTAACCCTCTTCGTATAGCTCTTCCACGATTGATATTATATCATTTCGTACTCCTGTGTTTCCTGCCATTTTTTCACCCCATAAAACCTCCAAATCCCTAATCAATTCATGCACGCTATTCCAGTATTTGTATTCGATCGGTCGGTCGAGTTCCTTGAATAGAGTAATACCGCTACCCGATTTCGCACGCCCCTTATTCGCCGCTTCCTCCTCCTTCAGTAGAGGCTTTATTATAAGCGTATACTTTTTGCTCTTATTGCCACGAATCTGTTCGGTGGGGTCGTAATTGCGCCGTGCGACATGAGTTGCTATTATTATCTGCTTATAGTTACTTCTATCCTGCTTGGATACTAGCGATTCGTCCGGTTCATTCATGATGATAAGTTCGTATAGCCCTGCAGTACCTTTGTACCGGACCCCGTTAATGACCAAATCTTCGTCATCTATCGTCACCTCCGTCTTGCCCATTCGCCACTTATCCGTTTCGACATTATAATGAATTCCAAAGGTGCTGTCAATTGCATTACTCGTATCTCTTATCATGCGCTCAACGTATATACGTGGTAGGTGTTTGTATTGTTCCAAAAAGGCTTGCGAACCTTGCATATCAAGTAATGAAGCAGATGATTCTGATGCAATAGAGGACTCGTCTTCTTCTTCCTCCAGTTGATGCTCTCCTATCACTGTACTCTGTAGAAATGATGGCGGCTGTCTCAATGATGGAGTAGCCGTGGGGTGAAAAGGTCTAACCATAGGACTAATATCAGTTGGCGGATATTTTTGAAAGTAGGGAAGTCTAGCCAGCGGACTGATCTCGGTAAGGGAAGAGGGCCTTCGTCTCACTCGCGAGTAATAAGGTATCGCAGGAGTCGTACGTTGGTGTGGTGACTTTCTTTTTACAGGAGATTGACGTTTTTTAGGGGGTGATGTAAATACTTCGTCCTCTGATGGCTCCTCCTTTTTCGTTTCTATAACCAATGATGACGGCGGTTCGATTTTCTTTACGATCTGAGCTAGCGGTTGAATTAGCGGTTTATACGTTCGTACAAATTCCACTTCTTTAATAAAACGATCCGCTTTGAGACGATTGTACTTTTGCTGTATCGCTTTACGCGCCTGAACTATTCGTCGTTTCAAGGCCATCTCCTTATTATCCATGATCAACGGAACAGGTAAACCGATATCAAATGAACAGATCAACTGGAACAGGGTCTGTTCCCCCCAATAAAGCTGTTAAGCTGTTCAGCGGTTAAAGCTGTTCAGCTGTTAGTTAAAGCCGTTCAGCTGTTAAGCTGTTAGAGGTATTAAAGCTGTTAAAAGCTGGTAAAGCTGTTAAAGCTGTTACAGTTGAACTGAACAATAAACATGTTTTCATGGTATTATATAGTGATCGAAGCCTTTCCTGAAACGACCGTTTTGCACATCCGCATCCTTATTTATCACCATAAACCCATACGGGGTTCGCCAGCTTTCCGAACACATCTCTCGAAACAGCTGCATGGTTATTATGGGTGCGACATGATCTTCATAAATATGTCGCAAATTCAAGTCGTCCTGTTCGAATAGGACAATTCAGTTGGCATTATCTCTAATCAATTGTTTAGGAATTTTAGAATACGTCTGACCCAAGTAGAAACAATCGATGGCGTTATGCCTGCCCATTGAAAAGTACGCTCTAATATTATCCTGTTTTTCACAAGCGATATCGTCAAAGATAAAAACCGAATTAGGTTTGGCAGCACTGGGCTCCATAATGTCCGCGTTCTTGTTGAATGTGAAGCAGCCAATATCCTTCATTGGTTGTAAAATTTCCCCCAAAACCCTATATTTGTCCTGATTCAGCGATTTGGAATAGACGTACACGTGTTTGAAGCGAAGACCATTAGGTTCAGTTAGCAGACTGAGCATCGTATTCGTTTTACCACAATTGGACGGTCCACAAATGACGCATCTTACGCTGTTTGGAAGTAATACGCCATGGGTTTTTTTGTGGTCCACATTTGGCGTCGTGTCGAGATTTTGAACGAGCAGCTTTTGCTTCTGCATCACTACCTTCATTTTGGGGTCGCGGTTGAAATAAGACTACGAACATTTTTTATCATTACATTTTATTTATACATTAAATAAATACAAATCATAGTTTCTTCACTTCCCCGGTCAGAGGATTGTATTGAATTAGTGCGTCGTGCAGGATCAGACAATAGGCAACCGTTCCCGCCTCGAAGGCCTCCATCGACTCCATTTCCAACTTAACATCTACCGTCGAATGCTTCAGAGATTCGTTTTGCTTTGAACAGTCCAGCACGAAGATGGGGCAACTTTTAAAATACAAATAGTCAAAGAGGGCGTCTTGATGCTCATCTTTCGAGTAATAATCGCGCCGAAAGTTTAAATAGTTTTGATATGCAATGATGTACTTGTTGGCATTAAAATCTAAATGCATCGCTTCGTACGGATAACTTTCCGAGTTGAGATGCAGTTTTAAATTTCGAATATTGATGTTATCGAAATTGGCCGCTCTTGCTTCGTGTGAAAACTTTTTACCGCTTCGTTGAAATGCCACAATTATCCATCGTGGTTTCTCTAGTTGAGTTGAAGTTTTGATTGGCCATATATCCGACTGTGCCTGTTTTAAAGCGGGCAATTCGTACAGTTCCCATTGACGAAATGGCATTGTGATTATAGCATCTTTATTGATGCGTTCGTATAGGCTAATTTTGGCGCTATCGCTAACGGTCACGTGAGGAACTTTCCATTGAATTTTTGT